GGGGTGGTGACATGTTTCCAAGCGAAGTATGTGTGTAGGGGGGGGGGGGGGCGGGTTGGTGCTTTAAATGAGTCGTTCCCATAAATACCCATAAACACTTGCATGTGTACGTCGCCATAGGTGCAAGATGTCGGCGTGTTGGCGGAATATCTTTAAACATACGTTTGTGTCCTCGTGTGTGTGTCTGCGTGTGTGTGTGTGTGACAGATATGCAGTGTAACCTAAGCCGACGGAGCGTCTCCAGATATACCCTCTGAAAGAGTCAACGACGTACAGTTTTCTTGGAAACTGAAGTTGCTGCGCAGCGTACTCAGCTAAGTTAGGACACACACACACACACACACACACACACACACACACACAGCTGAGATTTATGAAGCAGATTTCATGGAATGCAAAGGTAGCTCAACAATTCCACGCACAACTCACATTGCGAGTTAAAAAAGACACCAAAGTGCCAACGGGCCAAAACTCAATTTGTGTCGTACGTTAGAGGCTTCAGTGGGCCGGGGTCAAAGGTCATTGAAGGGGCTAATAGGTGACTGTACATGTGTGTGTGTGTGTGTGAACATGAGAAAAAACAGTGGTGGCTACACAACTAGTACACACATATACGAATATTTACACTGATCTAGTAGTGACTACTCCCATCCCAGCAGGGGGCACTGGAAGCACACTTTTAACGCCTTGGTGCATATGTTGTGTTTCTGTTGAGAAAATTTAGTGCCTTGACAAACAAACATTTAGTTTCTTCAAGAAAAAAACCGACAAACAAACATTTAGTTTCTTCAAGATAGAGGAAAAAAAAAACACGATGATTAAAATTTACTACTGAACACATTTTATTAATATTAAAAATAATAACAGCATTTTGAGGCTTTGTTATCCTGCACACACTGACTCTATGTTTAAGATTTAAGTTTATAAAAAAATCAATTGCACACTTTTAGTGAAACATTAGTTACATTATTAAATGATCAAGGTTATAACTTTGAGTGATTCTGTGAAAATAAAAGTTTAAAAGGGACATAAAACATTTTTTTTTCAGGAAAATTAAACCAAAAATGAGACAGTTTTAAAAGGGATGTAAAAGAAAACTGTTTATTTTTTCAGGAAAATTAAACCAAAAATGAAACAGTTTGTTCACTGCCACCAACGACTGGTGTCTTAGAAAGCAGATGATACACAATTGGCCTCCCCAGTGCTGATGTAGGCACTACATTACACAACAGGCCACATGTGTCACATGTCCACAGACACTGGTGTGAGTGTGTACAGGACACAGGCCTGATAAATATAGGAGTCCAAAGAACACAGCCAAATGTGCAGCTGCACTTTCACGGCACTGACCGTAACTGAATACAAGTGGAAGTTCGACACGTGCCAGTAAAAAGACGACATATGCAACATTTGAGCTTCCGTAAACACATTTGACGTCGTAAATAATCCTGACCTCCACCCTTTTGTCTGTCCCAACTTTAGGTTCTACTGGAAAACGACCGGCCGGATCGCAGAGAGTCAGGGTGAAGAGATGTGGGGCTCTGGCCCAGGAGGGAGGGAGGGGGCAGTCGGTCCTGTCCAGTGTGGCCCCTCTCCTGCGCTGAGGGCCTGCTTCCTGACAGGGAGAATGACATCACCAGGGGGGGCCCTTGATCCCTCTTTTTGGGGAAGCGTTGAAATTTTGCACACAAAGGCGGCGCAGCGCTGCTATCTGCACATCTGAGTGGACGCAGCACTTTTGAAAATCCCTAACGAGATTAGAGTTGCAGTGCGATCAGCTGTCAGTCTGCTCTCACTGGCTGCTTCTCTGAACTCACATATAGGATCTAAGCCCTGCTGAAATCACAAGCGCTCCACCCCCAAAGACCACAGGACGGATGGAGTACTGTTGAATCAAACAAGAGTCACACGTATGTATGGTTGAAAAAAGAAAAGAAAAATACATTTAATTCTCAGGGTCCCTGTGACTTCTGACCCAGTCTTTTTTTTTTTTTTTTAATTTTTCGAGAATTTAAAAAAAAAAAAGAATGTTCAAGAAATTAAAAAAAAAATCATTTTTTTATAGATTTCTTGAAAAAAAATTTTATAAAAAAAAATCCTTGAAAAAAAAATTTTTTAACAAAAATTTCTTGAAAAAAAAAGACTCC